ATTGGATAGAAAGATTTGAGAGAAATCTTAATTGTGTTTCTTTAAACATTGGATTTGAAGGATTTGAGTTTGTAATGACTTTGTGAAAGCTTTGCAAAGTCAAGATTTTTTTGGATGATTCTATTTTTTGTAGAATGAAAAAAAAAAATAATAATAATAAATCATATAAATTTTATAGCAAATATATAAGTAAAATATTGTAGATTTATAAATGTAGTTATATTAGATGTGTGTTGAATTTGGTTAGTTATGTTATAAAATTGAGCTAATTTGGATGGTTAGATTTAATATAATTAAGATTCAAGTGAATTAGGATTGAAAAAAATTGGATTTTGAAGGACATTGAAGATTTCTATAATTTTGAATAATCTACTAATTAGATTGAAATATTTTTATATACTAATAATTGACTAATGTTTTTACATTTATACACATTTTGATAATAAGTTAATAGTTTAAATGGGATGAAATTAAGGTTGGAGAAGGAAGATGTTAATTTCAAGCAAATAAGTAGGATTTTCTTCTAATTCATATGATTGATTCTTTTCGAATTTTTTACGTTTGCTTTAAACTTTTAAATTGAAATATATAAAAAAATTGAATGAATATCAATAATTTAAATAATAATTCTTAAAGTTTGAAAGTTGCTGTAGAATTTACTCTTGAATTTGAATAAATATTTTTAGAATTTATTTGAGATTTTATTAAGATTTGAGTAGGATTTTTAGGATTTTTTCAAAGCAATATTAAGATTTGATAAAGATTAAATTAGTATTTTATCAGAATTTGATTAAAATTTAATTATAAATCAATTAGGATTTGATTAAAATTAAATCAAAATTTATTTATAATTATTTATGATTTCTAAAAGAATTCTTTTAGGATTTTTTTAAAGATTATTTAAATTTTATTTGAAGTTAATAAGAATTTAATAGGATTTTGTTTTGATTATTTAAGATTTCTAAAAGATATTTATAAATACCTAATGTATTGTTATTTTGAGTTTTAATCCAACTTCAAAATAAGATCATATTCTTCGAAAGCTAGATGTCTAATATATTTCTATGCTTAATTTTCACATAACACAACAATAACTATATTTGTCTTGAAAGAATGTCTAATCTCTAACCTCTCATATACCTCTTTTGCTCTCCCTTTTATGAATTATATGCACTCAATTTATATAGGCATGGATGAAATAGCACTTAAATTTATTTTTTTCAAATTACTTATTAAATAATTTTTCTTTTATATATGCAATCTATTTCTAAATTTCTTTATTAATTCTTATAAATCATTAGGTTTATAATTGATGTTATTTTATTTAAAATTTTAATTTCTTAAATAAAAATTTAAGAATTTTATAAAAATATTAATATCATTATTAAAGCTAAATTTAAGTTTAAAAATTAAAAATTTATTTGAAAAAAAAATATTATAAGAGAGTGGATCTCTTAAATTTTTATTTTAGCATAGAATAATTAAAAGATAAGCATAAAACCACGTTTTTAATATTTAAAACTGTAGATATGTGCAATAGTTTGTCTAAGATTCTTATAATCCAATAAAAAGACTTTTGATGCTACCAATAATTATTTAAAATCTTAAGTGACCAAATCATGATAGTTTAGAGGTGTTTGGCCTTCTAATGATATTTTTTAAATTTCATAGAAAGGTTATATAAAGATTTATCTTTTATAGATTTTAATTATGTTTATGGCTTCTTACTAGCAATGGTAAATATATCTACTAGTTCTTGTAATTGAATAAAGAAAAAAAATATATCTTCTTATACTAGTCGAAACTCTATTATTTTATAAATAGTCACCTAATCATTTCTATAAAATAGAATAAATTGTGCATTAATTTGATTAAATTCAACACAAGAAAACTTGGATTATTTCAATATATTAATCATGAGTACATTGTTGAAATATTTTTCTATACATATAAAGAATATATAATACTAATACTAATATTTTAATAAGATATATAATATTAATAGTAAAAAAATCATAATACATATTTTATAAGATATTTTCAAGTATATATATAAGAAATATAAATATTCAATATTTTTTAAAATAAGTTATGTATAAAAAGAAGGTAATATAAGAACAACCAATAAAATCAAGTATTATTTAGATATTTACTAAATTTTATCTCAAAAATGATGTTTGAAATTTTTTATAAAAAATTCATATATAAGATGCTATAATATTTTTTGATTGCAAATTCACCTCCTAAATCAAGAAATTTTAATAGATATCCATATTAATTAAATAAATAGAAGTAAATAAAAAGATAATAACTTTCCTAAAAATCTTAAAAGAAGGCTCTTAGATGATTTAAGATTCTTGAGTCTTTTTTTTTATTTGAGATTAGTCATTTTATTTTTTTATTTTATAATTATTTCTTCATTTCTTGCTTTATTTCTTCTTTAGTGATATATGAGTGTATTGTCTTATGAATTCTATTATGATTTATGAATTTCATAGTTTAATAATACTTGTAGTTTTTTATAAAATTTTTATTTAAAAATAAAATAGATTTTTATATTTTGAAAATATAATAAAGAATTTTTTTTAACTAATTTTTTCTAATAATAATTTTTTTCAAAATATGGAATATATTTTATTATTAAAATACTTAATTTGATATTAGAAACTATAAATTATCTTCCTTTAATTTGACTTGTAGATATGTTACTGTTGTATATTATATTGATAGAAGAAAAATAAATTTATAATGATATACTTAGATAAATTGACTAATGATAAAAATTCTAAGATAAAGCTAAAAAAAAAATTTAAAACAATTCTAATTTTTTTATGATATTGATATCAATTTAAAACTATATTTTTTTAATCTTGATAATTTTTTTATAGTAATAAAATCAATTCAAATCAACTAAAAATCTTATTTTTATATAAGTAAGTAGAAAGACATGAGGTTCTTTTTCATGCTTCTTTTAACTACTAAATAAAATTTATGCGCCTTTTTATAAGTAAATAATTATTTAATAATTAAATATTAATATTCAATAGTAAGAAAGATTATCAAACTAATTAGGATAATTATCTTCAAGATTTACTAAGATTCCATTTTTATAAATTTTTCTTGTGCGGTGTAAGTCATAGGGGTGTTCTTTTTCATTTTCATTGAGTTACAAAACTAGTGTACTAATGACATGATTTGAGGTGTCTACATAGACATAGAATGATTTGTCTCAATTTGGAGAGGAAAAAATAGATACAATAACAAGAACTTACTTTAGTTTTTTGAAGGCTTGTTGGCAAGCCTCTGTCTAGCCAAACTTTGTATCAATGTGAGAGAGAGTTATGAGAGGAGATGCAATAAATACATGGAAATAAATTATTGGTAATAACCTCTACATACTATGAAGTGTCAGAGGTCTTTGATAGTCTAGGGTAGCAAGATATGTTGAATAGGAGCCATGTTGTTAGAGTAGATTATTACACCCTGCAAACTAACATGTCAGTGTAAGAGTACATTGTTATACCCTGCAAAAACAGATTGTATGATGCTCTAAAAATACATTTTTTAGGATTTAGAGGTATGTGTGCTTCTCTACATGCAATGAAGACTTGTCAAAGAGCTCCAATGTGTTTTGCTGAAGAACTTTGTATACATATGTCATCAAAGTAGTCTTCTACAAATATCTGTGAGATGGCAAAGAAGACCATAATGTATTGTTGGAATGTTGCTAAAGTATTTTAAAAGCTGAAAATCATAATTTAGAATACAAAAATACTGAGTTTGGTAATGAAGGTGGATTTGTATTGGTTGATAAAAGCTCGTTATTACACCTCAATCACCAAGTATAACTTATTACTCCTGAAGCAAAGCAAGGGATTCTATAATGATACTGAATATATTTTCATAATTTTAGAGATACGTTTTTGCAATCGTCAAAGAAAATTACTTGGCCTCCGGAGAGAGCGTCCGCCATGGATGAGAAGAGAAGGATGATACACAGTCGCCTCCTGTTTAAGCATGATCATTCCATACAAGTGAGACCATCGATTACTATGATTTCACATGCGCATGGAAACATTAAAAACCATATTTTTACCAATCCAATCCAAGTGCTCACACTGAAAACATTTTTGTTAATCTAGAACTTCCAGGGCAGTTGTTTTACAGCTCGTTAATCTTTCTATCTGTCTATCTGCGAAGACTAGAATTGGGCGTGACCGTTTCGCTCTGAAATTAAAGTTGTAAGCAGCTATACAGTTCAATAATTATGACCTCAATGAAAGTAGCTATACAGTTCTATAATTATGACCTCAATGAAAGTAGCTATACAGTTCTATAATTATGACCTCAATGAAAGTAGCTATACAGTTCTATAATTATGACCTCAATGAAAGTAGCTCAACTATGAACCCTACGAAGCCCGGGAGGTCCACAACGTAGAAGTTCAATTCCTCATAGCCAACATGAAATGCTTCGACTGTGGACAGTATACGATGTTAATTTACAAGTACCTCATTCACATAGCTGAAAGTTCAATATAAATGCCAGAATTTTTCTTTTAGAGAAAAGAGTCGGAGAATCGTAGACTTGGATGGCGTGGTCTGGTGTTCGCCGTGGTATCCAGGTCCATCCCCTCCTCGACTTTTCTTCTTCTCCCCCCCCCAGGGAATAGGTCGTTTCTACAAGGCTATCTTTGGTGGTCCCACCGAGAAATGATCTAGAGGAAGGTGCTGAGCAAGAATCAGGCCGACAGGTTGATGTTTGACCAGGCTCTCGCTTTTGACTCACTTCTTGCTCTTTGATACTACGGGGGTATTCATCATATAGTCCCAAGACAGGAGCAAATGCACGAGTCTCTACATGTTGCATATGCAATTTTCTTTCAGATATCTGCTGCAAGTGAAGCTGCAAAGCTTCGTTGCCATGGGAGTCTTTCGGCAAGTCTGCTGACACAGCTCGAAAATGGGAAATCCGTTCCTCCTTCAGTTGAATCAACGCCATGGCTGCTGGCTCAAACTCAAGTTTCCCTGGAAAATCATCACCTTGTAATGGTTTGTGTGAGATCCTGGCCAATCACTGAAGCTGCTTGCTGCCAAGGATTTTGACCACGCCATTGTTCATCTGTCCATGATTCGCAACCTACACAAAATGGGAAGACATTGCATCATCATCGGAATCAACCTTCAAATCCAAAGTGACTGGAGGCATTCAATAAAGGTACAGACCTGCTCGAGCATCTGAAACATATGAAGTCCGTGAGAAGCTTACAAAAAAACTTACCAAAAACTCTACATGCACTTATCTTTCCGCGTCGGTACATCTGCACAACGACACAGAAAAAAATTAGGAGGTTTCAAACGCAGTGAGATGCGCAAATGAATGTATGAATTTACAAAAGTTACGCGTCAACGAAAAAAATTCATTTCATTTGCTCCGCAAAGATTTCCACGAAAAATATGGTGTGTATTTTTGAATGAAGAGACCTGAAGATGACTTTTGACATGTGCGATTGTAATACCGCTTCTATTCATATGGTGTAGTATTTTCTTTGGTGTCGCTTCTGCACCACGAGTATCGCAAAGGCGTCAGTTACGGATATACCAAGGCAATAATCTACTCTGTTCGCTGCAAACTCACAAAACAGAGAGGCAAGTAATGTGCACAGTGTCATTCTTTAGTTCACCGCTCTTAACTTGCAACAAATGACTAACAATGAGTTCAAACTCAAACAGATGGACAAAATTTACTTACTGTTTTGACCGCCCAGATGATCGACGGCACGCAGAAAACACTCGTGAAGTTCCTGAGTCCACTTCAACTTCTGCGTGCTTGTGCACAAATTTGGCCTAACATTGCAGCTGTAGCGTTTGAACTCATCCGAAGAATCATCAGCGTTGATGCTCTGTGTAGATTGAGGGAGGATCGCTCTTTGGCACAACCTCCTTCCGATTTCATCTCTACCATGACTTGAGTCCGAAACCGAAGGCATTATGAGCCCATGTTCAACACATAATATGTCTTCCTATGCCGCAATCTAGCGGTAGTGCGCCACTGAGAGTCGAGAGGTGTGATCCATTTCACACAACTACAGACGTGGACGAGGCACCGAAACACAAGAAATTTAAGCTGTTAAGAGGGCGAACCTTCTCATTCCATTATCTCAATTGTCAGCAAAGAAGCAAAGAGAAAAGCAACAAGAAATTGACTGCAGTGCGTAGGTGGAAAATGCTCCTGCAATCCGCACGAGAATGACAAGCGGCTTCCGATTTAAGTGTATGAGAGAATCCTATGCAAAAATGACAACGCAAATGGAAGAATCTTCTTCGTACCAGTCTTGTAGTTGAAGAAAAAGCTCGTACTCTTAACTACGACACTTGCTGACTCGCGTTCACTTCGTCTTCTTCCCGAATGTGCCTCAGCGCCGGTCTCGGGAGAGCAGGACTTCGAAAATCCATGAGCTAAAACCTCGAAAAAACGCTAAACATAACTACAATGTGATATTTTATGGTTTGATGATTTGAAACGTGCGCACTCACATAGTCTTTATTTAAAATGGTCGGTTGTTTTTAAAGTTTTAAAATACTGTAAATCCATCATATTCTAATAACATAATAAAACATATAAAGATCTAAAAACTATAAATATGTATCCTACTTAAACCCACATTTTTAAAGATTCTGTATTCTTAGTGCATGTAATTAATGTAAAAAAGCTTAAAATAAATATTTGATCTAAAGTAAAATTTTCAATACATTATTTTTTAATATAAATAAGTGTCTTGTAGTTTTTCTTCAAAATTTATGAAAAATGTGAGTTAATCTGCTTTACATACTTTTAAGTTAAATAAATTATGTAATCAAATATACTTGTAAATCCATAACTTATAAAGGGTATTACTATAATCAACCCAATTTTTGTTGCTACTACCATAAGCTTTCCTAAACTTGAGTTGCACACACTAATGCACTTTTCTCAACTAATTTGTATATACCTCTTCTATTCCTAATACCACCTCCAAATCAACCAATGTACTTTCTTTCAAGGAATTTGTCTAAATTCTTGCTATTTGTCTACAATTTGTCCCTCAAGTACTAATTTGGGGTGGTATTGGGAGTAAAAGGAATATGAATAGATTATTTGAGAAAAATGCATTAGTATTTGCAACTCAAGTTTAGGATAGTTGGTAGTGCTAGGAGTAAAAATCATAGCAGTATGTGATGGATGGCAATAACAAAAATTGTAGTGATAATAACATCCTACATATATTTAAAAGATTTTTAATCTAAAATTAATGTCCATCAAATAGATGTTTGATTTATTAATTTTAACGTTTTAAAATATTTTTTAAAAATAATATTATAATATAAATTTCTATTTTTTATCAATTTTTTATAATAAAAAAAATTATATATAAGAATGTTAAATAGATCTAAGCTTTTATTAAACTAATCAAATTTTTGGCATTAAAGGTTTTTTTTTTTTTTTTTTTTTTTTTTTTTGCTTGGATCCGACTTTATAGGTGGAGGATTGCTGGAGTTTTTGAGCGACAAGATTCAAAACCAATTTGAGGTTTCTTATGCCATTTTGTGGATTTTTATCTTTTTATATTGAGATTTTAAAGGAAGTTAGATCTTATTGTTAGCTTTCCAACAAGCTATTTCAAGCAAAAAAAAATGAGATACAAGTGAACTTGTGGCAAGACGTCATTGGAAATTTGGAGCAACAAGGTTCTAGTTTGGTTCAAGGTTTTTGATGCCACTTATTGAATTTTATTTTCATTTTCATTTCTTGTCTTGAGATTTTGAAAAAAGCTAGATCTTATTTTTAGCTTTCCAACAAGATTTAGCATACAAAAAAGAGTTGTAATGATGGAGATTCAAGCTAATTTGTGGATAAGGATTTCAAAAGCTACAACTAGAGGAAGCAACTAACTTTTATTTCCTTGGTTTGATTCTCATTTTTTCAAAATTTTATTTGTTGACTCTAATAATTTGAAGTTTGTAGATGAGTTAAGCTCAATGAGTTAAACTTTGCCTAGATTAGATTAGTAATAAGTAAATTATAGGTATTTTAATAAAAAGAGATTTGAATTTGAAATTAGAATTAGAAATTAGATGCATCTTGGCACAAAAAAGAAATTAATCTAAAATTTGTATTTTGTCTTTGGCTACTTTTTTATATTTGAATTTACTTGGACAACATTGTGCTTCTTATAACCTACTTGTAATCAAAGATCCCATTATCATATTCTGTGAAGTCTTGCTTGAAAATGTGTTAGGCACTTAGCTATGGAAGATAAAAGAAATTTACAATAATAAGTCCTAATAACTCCAATAGAATCATACATAAATTTTAATGAAAGCTTGAAAATCATAATCAAACATTGATCAAGTCCAATTATTTATTTATAGAAATTATAAAAAAAATACAAAGAAATTTTAAAGAATTTCTAAACAAATCCTTAAAAAATCCTTAAAAAATCCTAAAGAAACCATAAAGAATCCTATTCAAATCCTAATGAAATCCTAAAAAAATCAAAAAGAAATCCAAAATAAATTCTAAAAAAATCTTAGTGAAATTCTAAATCCTAAATAAAATCCTAATTAATTCCTAAGAAAATCCTTACTAAAATCTAACTAATTCAAATCAATCCTAAAGAAATTTTAGAACATCAATATTTATTGATTAAACTATTGATCTTAATTAAAATTTTAAAAACCTCTTAATTTCTTAATTAAAAATAAGCACAATAATTTTGAAGAGAATCAAACGTGTAAAATGGGAGAAAAACGTCATAATTTTCTCAGGTGTCGACCATCTTCTATTTTTGAACTTAATATTGATCTTTTAGCAATAATAATTTCTAATTGAACTATTAACTTTCTTTCAAATTTTTTATAAGTGTTGAAATTTAAGTCAATTATTAGATTTAATAAAATCACTTTAATCCAACTAGCAAATTGTTGCAAATCTTAGATAATCTTACTAGACCTAAAACTCCAATTTCTAAGACCCTAATCCACTTGAATTTTAATAATTTTTAATCCAATTATTTATTTAAGCTCAAAATTACAACATATATTCAAGATAATTATACTCACAATCTTGCAATATTTTATTTGTAGATCTACTACAAAATTCATAAAATCATCCAAATTATAATCCTATTTTATTTCACAAAATTTAAAGTCTTCCAAAAAAACCTTGACTTTGCAAAGCTCTTACAAAGCGATTACAAACTCAAATTGCTCAAAATCAATGCTTCAAGAAATTTTATAAAGTCTTCTCTCAAATGTTACTCTTTGATTTACAAAAAACCTTAGAATCAATGTAGATGCGTAATTTTGTACCTCGGAATCTGATTTTAACCCTAGTTGGCAACCAATTCTTTTTAAATATCAATCCAACCTATCTTAGGGATTTTTAAGCATGATCCTAATTCATCTTTAATCTAATATCAACCATATCAATTATCTACCTCATTTACTTTTTTTTTTTTATATCAATTTATGGCTTTCCTAAGGTAGTAAAAGAGTTTCTACAATCTAAAAAGAAAATTTAATAGCTAACTTTTATATACTAGCTATTAAGATAAGTAAATAACCTAAGATACTTTCATAAAGCCTTTCTTAATTGTCTTAAGTTCTTATTGAACCAAGATAGTTGAATATTAATTAAAAATTAATTTTTTTATATTTTCACAATATAGTTGTATTACAACACGACACTATGTTTTGTTGAAGAGGCTCGCCCTCTTGATAACATGTACAAATTTTTGTTTAAAAAAATTATAATTTAAAAGAAATAGAGATTTTAAAAAGGATAAGAAGTCAAGCAACAAACTTATAGAAAGCAAAATTGAGGCTTTTGATATCACGTAGCAACTCGGAGCTTGTAGAGATGGATGGATGATAAGATATTAAGATGGTAATTAGGAGGTCATGGATTTGAATCCCTATAATGACATACAGAAGAAGAAAAAAAGAATATTCTTTCAAAATCCTCAATTTATTTCTTGAGGATATTTAGAAGGTTGGCCTTACAATACTTACATTAGGAAATTATTTTAGGTAACAAGGACATTTATTGCCTATGGATAAGAGCAAGAATTTTTTTTTAATAGTAGTATGATGTGTTATATCCATGCCTTCTATATATTTATTTTTTTGATAGATTGATATATAGCTTTCTTTAAAAAAGAATGAGCTATAAGTTGGTAGTGGCTAAAGTGAAATGAGATTAATTTTTGGAATCCTTGATCTTACTTTTTTTCTTTTAAATAAATAAACTTTGAATAAATCAAATTTAGGATTTAAGATTTAAAAGTATGGTTTAAGGACTAGGCATAGGATTTAGAATTTAGGAATAGGATAAGATTTAGGATTTTGAAAGGATAGCAACCTTCTTTGGAAAAAGATATAAAGACTCTCAAAGAAGGTTTTTCTCACTCATATTTATTTTATAAATATTTAATGAATGGATTTGTTGGCAGTATAAGGAGCAAGGGAATTTATAAAGGATTTGTGTTGCATTGGATACTGTATATATATATTTTTTTTAAATTATAAGAAAGTAGGACAATTAATAGCAACAGAGGTTCCATATTTTTTAAAAGCAGATTGTCTTTCTACAACAATGGACAACTTCTACTTTAGCTGTAGACAACCATTAGAACAAGTAGAGCTTCTAAAAGGACACACTCAACAATTTCAACTCATAAACCCACAACTTTTCAGCCTCCTAGAATTTACATATATATACAAACATCTTTTCACTTGTATCTTGTAGGCTGATCTACTTGCTAAGATAACATTGTATACAACTAAAAGGCCAAAAAATAAGGTACATAATATTACACCACACTCTCATCACTATTCAACGTCAAAGGCATACCAGCCCTGTATGCACTCCATTCATCTAAAAAGTCTCATAAATCTCCCAAGTTGAAGAAAGATGTCCCTTTGGAATTGAACCACCAATTTAATGAATCTCAAAGTCAAGACCGCAAAATATTAATTAAAATATTTGAAATTTAATGCAAGTTCATTAGACATAAGATTATCTACTTTGATACTATTAATATAAAATAATCAAAAAATTATTCAACACATACCAATTTTAAACTAAAAAAGCAAGAACATCATAAATATGGTAGGTGTGGAGAAAAGACTAAATTAGAACTTCTCTCCAAATCCCTTTCAAATACAAATGTAGGATTTTTCTATAGGAGGCAAAAACTTAGACAATTTCTATGATTGATCTTTGAATTCAGATTAGGATGGTAATGAATGTGGATGGTTTTTATTTGTTGCTAATCCAATAGTAGAGAATAGAATCTAGAGATCAATTTTTTTTCATGATGGTTAAGTTGGATGAATCAATTTAATAAAAGCTTGGACCATTTTAACATTTCCCTAAATAAAAAGAATACTACTACTGTCACCACAATTTTAACTATTGCTACTACAACCCGCTATTCACTACTTATCACTTACATCCTTTATCAAGGTTATTAATAAGAATAAATCTTTTTTCAACTAATGTTAAAAAGTAATATTTAAAATATTAACAAATCCATTTATTGGAATAAAAATCTCAATAAATATGTCAAGCAAGTGAGTGGTTTAATTGTAATAGCAAAAATTGTGATGACATTAACATCATCAAATAAAAATAAAACAATCACTATATTCAAATGAATCATCTATTTTTTTATAAATTTCAAATTCACTTTCATTTTTTATATGCTTGTGTGTATATATATATATATATATATACATATACACACATACATATATAGATTTTATTTTTAATTTATTTGTTATTGAACACATATTTTTTTATCTTTTATATTTTTTCTAAATTAAATTTATAGTGATATGTACAGAATAACTGAGAAGAAATTATTTTTTTGAAGAGATTCCAATTTTAAGTTTCTCTAACACAATTTTAATTTTTTTCTAATTTTTAAAGACATATTGGTGTATATACATATATATACATATATACATATATATACATATATATATATATATATACACATGCATGTGCAATTGAAATGACAATAATTTATCAAATTCTATTCATAAAGATTTAGATGGAATGCAAGCCATTAAATATCTTATTCTTATATATGATACTTAAGAAAGAAACATAAAATACATAAGTAATCTAAAGTAAAAATAGAAACAAACTTTCAAACAAATAATTGGGTTTGAATACTTGACCAAACAGTCAATATTGAATCAGAAGTATATATCATGGTCTTGGTACAGCCATGTAAGTGTTAATCCTAGTCTCCTCTCTCCCCTTCTTACGCTCCACGAACCAACACAATGACTTGGTTGTCATTGTCAGTTGGAGCTCTGGCGCTTCAAGGCTCTGTATCAACATTGGACCTTCGACTCTTTCAAAGGCCTAAGAAACATGTTTCTCAGCGTATCTTAATCCAACTCTTTCCCGAAGCTCTTCCGGCTAGGGACGGTCGGAAATGGGTACATCTATTTCAATCTGGGCAAAATTACTGGGTGTATACTACATAAACTTCTACAATGTTTCCAAACTTCGCTGGGACCTGAGCAGATTCTGCTCTGAAAGATGGGTTTGGACGCTCTGAATACTTGGCAGTAAGTCTCACTCAAGAAACACTGCGATGATGAAATGCGCAGGTCATTGTTTGCTTCACGCTGACCTAGAGGATTCTCCCAATATCAGGTGGCCAGCTTGAAGGAGTGCCTCGTCTGCTCAAGTGTGACTAAGTTTCACACCATCATGATACCTCGGGATGAAGAGCAACGAAGCTTGCATGAAATGAGAGTATATGAATTTTGAATGCAGAAAGAACATACCCGAGGAGCTTTCAATCATTCAGACATTCAGCATCTGGTTAAAATCCAGATTGAATCGAATTCTCGGACGCGAATTGTTTGATATACAGAATGAAGACGATGTTTAACTGTTGAAGCTTGTCGACCGACTGCACCGGCCCTTCAGATACTCTTCAAGGTAAGCGCTAGAATGAGGAGCGGGCATCCCGTTTGGATCATGGTCATGGAAGGAAGATTCATCGTCGACCCCATCATCAACTCCGAGCATTGCAAGTGCCAAGTGAGTCCGGATGTCTGTCTCGCCATAATCCGCAGCCCCATCCACCAAATTGTTGCTAGCATCCTCCATGTCCATTGACTTGTTGATGAGTCCCTGCCGTGGCCAGTAGCCAAGACTCTCACCTTCTCCAGACAAGATTTTGAGTATCTACACGGTACAAACGTGGCAGTATCTACATTATTTGAATACTTCATTTTCAAGGTATCATATCACACGTCCAATTCTTGCACCGTTCACTAAGATAATACTACAATGGTCAGCTGCAGATAATCTAATTGCATAAGGTTCACCACATACAACGTGGTATTTCCCCGCGTCAAATAGGCTGTGCTTACGTTCCCGAGCGTAAACGAGTAACTTACCGTGTTCATCCGTGGTCTTCGCTGAGCAGAGTGGCGGATGCAAAGTGCAGCTGAAAGCATCAGGCTTTTGAGTTCGTCGACGTCGAATTCACCATCGAGTCGGGCATCAGCCAATATGTCAATGTTTTTCTCCTCTAGCAATGGCCGCGCCTGAATCAAAACAACCGTACTTAGATTAGAATCAAAGAAAACTATAACAACAGCGCTCCAATGTTCTCAAGTCAGTCTTGTAATTCACATTCATCTGCCTAATTTATGTAAAATTGAACTACTGCAAAAAAGGCTTCATTGATAATTTTCTTTCGTGTAACAGTAATTAATACATTTCCGAAGGCCTCAGAGAAACGTCACAGAATGACAATGTCATCATGGGAACTCCTTATTGTGCAAGCATATCACCATACCCAAAGAACAAGGTTTTCTTGGCCTTTTGGCCTAGTTGTGTCAATTGGCTGCCGACCAGTAAGGAGCTCGAGAAGGACCACACCAAAGGAGTATACGTCGGTTTTCTCGTTCACTCTTCCATACATGAAGTACTCGGGAGCCAAATAGCTGCACACAAACAATTCATAGCTCAAATCTAATTCTCTAATGCGAGAGACAAGAGCATAGTGAGCTTCCTCTTACAACCTCCATCCGTCACCATTATTGCAACACAGTTTGTTCAGCGTAAAAAAATACTCAATAACTATCTAAATTTCATTACGTGCAAATACGAAGTGTCACGAGATGTTACCCAAACGTGCCCACTACATCATTACATCTAATAAATGGAGTGTCTGTAGGAGCCCATTTCGCCAGTCCAAAATCCGACAGCTGCACAACAACGACTCATCAAGAAAATCGAATGTAGTAACATTTTGTTTCAGATTCTCTTTTACACGCTTGACCAAGGAAAACCAGACCCTTAAACTAAATATGGCCATCTAGTGCAAGGGTCATGCTATTCTTTTTCGGCGGATCTAATCAAGATTACCAAACGATAATCCGGCATTTACGTGTTAGTTTATCCACCTTTAGCAGAGATTTCACATGCCACAAGGTATATATTTGCTCAAGTGTAACTTAAGTTCTCTTCCATACTAACCAGTTTCGTTCCAGTAAAAGTCCTAGTCACAATGTGGATTGTCACTCGGGCTTACCTGGGCACCGAAGGTTGAAGTCAACAAAATATTGGATGCTTTGACATCCCTGTGCACAACTGGCCGGGGGCATCCATCATGAAGGTAGTCCAAGGCCTGAGCTATCCCAACAGCAATCCTATAGCGAACTTCCCATGGAATCACAGCTGAGTCCTTGCCACCTAGAATCACAATCCCATTTCCGGGTTAAGTTTAGAAAATTTCACACACAAATACACCTGAAAAACAAACAAAACAAAACAAAACAAAGTTTGTAAACCATAAATTTGTAGTATAGAAATTCCAATTTAAAGACGCTTAGATTTGGATAGAAATAAAATGTAGTACCATGAAGGTGATCGTCCAAGTTTCCATTAGGAAGAAATTCGTAAACAAGGATGAGATGTTTGGCATCTACAGAATAGCCGAGTAATGGAACAATGTGACGATGCTTCAGTGAGCTGTTGATCTCAATGTCAGTGAGAAGCTCTTCCTGTGCTTGTGGTCGTCCTTGGTTCAACAGCTTGACAGCTACGAGTCGGCCATCGGATGTCGTGCCACGGAATACTTGACTCCCGCCACCAATCCCTATCAAATTACCTGAGCAATCATAACCTCGTCAATGAGCATGTATAATTTCTCAACAAGCCAAGCAAATATTATTCGGTACTGAGAACAATATATCATCTTAGAATACCAATTAATCGTACGTTTTGTGACACGAGTAACTAAGAACGCCGGTATTAGCCAGAAGAAACAGTTGTGAAGTTCCTCAACGAGAAAATGTTAAATTGGAGATTGACGTACTTGGAGAGAAGCCCGAAGTTGCCGCGTCAAGCTCTTCATACGTATAAATTCGTGGACGGTCTCGGCATAATTGATGAATTCTACCTGTTACGGACACTAGCCGGTCGGGTTCGAATCGGCCCATTGTACGTGTCCTGACATGTGGTAGGCTAAAAGAAACACTGACTTTAGCGGAATAGGATTGATCCTCTCTACCAGATTGCATGTGAGTAGAATAGTTGCCATCTTTCCGGAGATCATTGGTAATACTAACTCTATCTGCGAATTCTCCACTTCGCTGAGGTAATTGCAACGCCCAATTTACAACTGACATGCTTCGGTCCAGCGTCGGACCTAAGGGCAGGTTGAAGTTCTCACGACTTAAAGAACGATGCATGAGGGGCCAGCCTCTCTGCACAGGCTCATCAGTCTCAAGAGATATTAAGGTCTTAGACAATTTATCGTCTCTGAAAGAGTGATTGACGAGAGGCCAACCTTTCTGGATGCCTGCTTCAATCTCAGGGGGCGTCATAGTCTCCGCAACTGTCTTTTCAGTAAAAACGGGCATGGAACATCTTGATTCATTATCATCAGAATTGTATACTTCCGTCGGGTAAGGGTCCAACTCTTCAACGGAATCGTCTTCATCACCGTCACCTTCACCACCACAAAGTCGCTGCAGATTTTGCCTTTCAATCCTCAAGGAGTTCGTCCGTTTCGAGATCGAACCTTCTAATCGACGCTTTGAATATGACAAACGAAATGCCTCGAAATCATTCAATGCGCTTTCAATTTGATTGGATGGAAGGACACTGTTCGGCGAACCTGAGCCTGACTTTGACCTCGATCCGGTCGTGCCCTCATGCAACATTGTTGAGCTAGATGACGAAGTACAATCAGAATCATGAACACTGACGCGATCGTCGCAGTCTACAACAATGCCATCCTTCTTCTCAGTTGTAGTCGGTGTGGAAGATGTGGATGCAGTGCCGTCATCATCGATGCATGATACAGCTATGGACACTTTCCTGCTCCTTCCAAAGCTTTTCACACTCCGCCGAAGAATTTTCATCATTGAGGGCCCTGCGAAAACGCCAATAGATCATGTTAACCATGTGACACGCGATTCTTACTCCAATCGCTAGAGCGTTCAACTGTACACATTACAGCTAATAGTAAAAGATTGTCAGGATGCAACATGGGACGGTTAGGAAGGAGGTAAACCTTACCAGTAGTAACTCTCCATCATATCAAATAGACGACAGAGTCGCCCATCGGTAGACTTAACTTGACGAGACTCATGAACTTGAATAAAAACGCCGACAAACTGTCTAATCTTGTGGCAAAGGTTTGATATCTTTTAACGGACATGTTACCCTGGCTTTGCTCACATAGTCCTCGCAACCAACAAAAATTACAAGAAAAAGGTGACGAGCTCACCAGAGGTCTCCAATTGCGTGCCCCTTTTATCGAACATAATTTTCCATTGATCAACAATTATGACTGAACATGTAGACGGAAGCCGCTTTATGCAGTATTTTCCAAGAGAAGCACTCCATCTGCAAGAATTTGTCACAAGATCAAACGGGCTGGAGATCAATTCACATTATAATAAGACGAACCGCTTCGAACAGATGCCCCTGTGCTTCCCTTGTAAAATTCAGGGATATCAGGCCAAGGTCAAGCACGTGAAGAATGCAAGATAACATACCCTGCTGCATGCTGCCTGGTGGTCCCCATAATCAACTTATATGCATCGTATGTGCGCGCCTCCTCTACAAGTGTTTTCCTAGCCTTGGTTCCGTTTACAATCTCCAACTGCAGTTTGATCTATCAGGCACAATCAAAGCATTTGCATGAGCTCAATCGCTGCGGTCTCCGCGTAACATGATCAAACAGACACAATGCAAACCACCGCAATTGCAAATATACAAACATTCAGATACAGTCGACGATTTGGTGGAACAAAATCCAGCGGCTATTGCTTAGCCATGGCCATGTAATAGATAGATTTAAGAACAGAATTTGATAACATCATGAGATATTACGTACACTGGAAACATTCAAGACATGGAATAAAGAGACTTAAAATTAGGTCTGAAACGAATTCTTCTATTCAGCTGACTTTTTTTGCCAGACAAGGGCAAGAAGGCGTACTTGTTTGAGGGTGCAGAGGCCTTCGTAAACTGAAAGGACGTTGCGTAAAGAGGTAGCCAACTGTTGTTGATTTGCGCAAACTTCTTCACCCCTAGAACCTGAAATGGGCACGAATTAGCATTAGTTGCAATTGCTGGAACTCCAAGGACGGAGGAGACTGTTTCACAAATTTGCATTAAAGCCCTGGAGACGGATGATCTGTTAATGCAAGAATTCGCAGAGGGAACCACGAACGTTTTGAAGAGGATTCGACTTCTATGAACTGGTTCGACACTTTAATTTGCAATGGAGCACGTATTTTCTAAGCAGACAAGAGAGAACACCACGTCTAGTGTGTAAAAATCCAGGGCTTAGAATTACGATGAGCAGAAGAGAGCCACAAATCAAGGCCTCCATGGAGACATCAGTGATTGACAGAAGAATCCTACTACTTGATCGCAGTCTCGCAGCGTTTCAAAATATGCCTATACCAAGCCAAGCTGCACTGAGTGAAAGCACCACGCTAATCGTATCCATCAATATGAGCTGGCCCATGCTCGGTTTCCAAAATGTCTCGGGTTGATATATCTCATTACTAACGTAAACTTCCTGCGCTTCTCAGCACCTGTAAGAACTCTATCATCTTCTCCAAATCAACCAAAATTCGAATACAGTTCCGTAGTTTGTTTTCCACTGGAGCATGAATACTGAAAAAAAATCCTACTCAGACTCTTTCCTCGATCTGCGATTCTGAAGATTGAAGCTGCTGGAAAACCAGGTCTTCAGATAACGAGTAACAATTCCAAGACAACGTTACAGCTAATCCCGCCAAAACTTGCTTTCTATTAGTTACACATGATCAGGACGGTTTCGCGGATGCGAGCACAAATGGTCGACAAGCGCTTAGTGTGATCGCTGTTACCTGACTGTGCTGGGAAGAGAGCAACATGGAGGGCAATTACAAGGTCACCAGGGTGCGCAACCTTAGCAATGGTCCACGTCAAAACCTCTCTGCACGACGCAGCGAGCTTCATGCCAACGATAATTTTTCTACCCTCTGGAAGCGCTTTCTTCCTCTTCTTCCTTTTGCCATCACTTTCCTGTTCCTCGTACTGCCCCGTAACGCCAATTGTCTTCTTTCCATTCCTCGTCGCACACCTCATGGTATGATGGTATGTTCCGACATCCATTACGCTATTCGTATCCATCACGCCAGTTGCCCAATCTACTCCATAGCTATGCACCTCACTCTCCTGAACCGCGCAATTCTGCAAGAGCTTCTCTAAGGTTGCTATGATCTTGGCAACCTACGCTTCTATTGCGGTTCTGTAGGAATGATGTTCTTTGATTGAACCGTGGAATTCTGTGCATATCGTTCGATTACACAATCGCATTCTCGAACTACCAAGAGTGGACACTTGTACAAATTCTCACAATCAACTGGAGGACAGAGGTGAGCAATTGAGCAGCCAACAGAGGAGAAGGTGCAAGGCAATTCAGAGCATTCTTCTTATCAGAAAACAAACAAACACCCTCAGAAGTGGGTGTTCCAGTCGTATACGCTCGTACTAAAGACGCAATCTCAAAGCAACAACTCAACCGAGGTAAAGTCAATCACAATGAGAGAGACAGACAGACAGACAGACAGAAAGGGGGGGAGGGAAAGAGAGATAGACAGAGGGACAGAGACCGAAGCGTCAGTAATCTGCCTGAGCACTTAACAAGATCAAGTACTTGAGGCCATGGCCTCGAGGCTCACAAAAAAGGACCTGCAATGAAAGGGATGCTTCCTCGGGGAGCGCGGAAGGATACTGAGAGATGAAAAGAGTGAATTCGACTAACATGCGAGTTGCAGTAAGAAGGACAGTCACCATTAAAAAGCAGAACTAGTTCAACCTCGCAGCTCGCAAGTCGAGGAAGTTGAAACGTCCACTCATCAATCCAAGCACACTGAAACGTGAACTCACTCCCTCCCTCACAAGTACAACAATTGCAGTTCAGAGCTCAAACCATCTCTCAAATCACCCTCCTGCAGCCACTCCTCACCCACTCACCCCTATCAGCGATAGCACACAGCAATATACATAATGATTCACCTATATGTTTTGCAAGAGCTGGACTTATCTCATGTTCTGAAGACCACTTACACTGCACAGAGGGAGTGAGTATTGCATACAAAATCGGGTTATAAATTACGCATTTGCGTACTAGATAATGCTTCCCGAAGAACTTACTCGTTTACCGGTCTTTGTTCACTTGACACTCTCATCAACGCAAGCATCCATCTCGTGATTTGACACGCAGTGTGAGCCAAATTCCTCTCTCCGAGCAGGAGAAGCTCGTTCAACGGGTAACTCCACAAGCCATGTGAATATGTGTAACCTGGATCTAATTACAGGGAGTATTATTTTATTTTGTATTTTTCCCCTTAGTGCAGAGCATTCTGAGATGTCTGCCACGCAATAACACAACACTCATGAATGGAGCGTCCTTTGTGCAAGGGGCGAGAAACTGTCTCCTGCCAGTCACAAAAAAGTTAACGCATTGGAGAAGAAGGTGCACGCAAGACAAGGAGGATATGGTTCCTTCTCACCATAAAGAATTCAATGAGACAAATCCGTCACCGTGAGAACAGGACAGTGGAGTAAATTAGCAAGCCAGTGATGTCAGAAACTGCAGAGAGGCGGAACAATCATGTGAGGGTCATGTAAGAACGCCTCCGGCAAACTCAGCGTCGTAATTAACCAGCGCTGTCAGATGCACCCCACCCTACCCCCTTTGAAATAACACCTCACGACAATTCACTCTCCCATCACCGAGCTCTCCTCGGCAGCACATCTCTCAGAACTCGGCCAGCAACTCAATCAACTCCTGCATCGCGATCATGGGGGTCATTCCCCTTACCCCATACCAGATGGGCCCTATCCTGACCGTATCAGTACAGTAAAAATCATGAAGCCTCCGACGTACAGGAAACCTAACCAACAACTCGGTGCCACCACAATGACCTTCGTCACTGACACAGAAGCTCAGGCGCATCAACAGCTGCAGAGCAGATCTGTATCCAGGAACCCACATCCGCAATTGCATTCATCCCTTGCACAGGATAGAATCGAGGCTCTAAACCAGAGGTTTAAGTTAACGAACAAAAGTAAGGTTTGTAAGTGTGGATAATAGCTCTTCGTAATTTAGAAATAAACTCCAGCATCCACGAGATTCGATGCAGTGTTAGAACCACCTTGGGAACATGCCGCCCCCGCGAAGATTGGTCAATTATTGATTCGTATTACGACTCCTTTTCTTAGACCCTTCGGGCCCTTACAAAAGCACAGAAGGCGCTTTCCTTAGTCGTTTCCGAAGTAGAAAAAAAAAAAGCAGCAGCTTGGAACTGTAGCGAGGGGCCTGTCCGAAGCGATGACTGGAAAAGCCTCAAAATGGAGAGAATTTATTACACGTCGCAGGCCCACTTGTGCATGAAACTCTTATGCGGGGAGCAATTCCGGCTTTGCGTCGCTGCTCTTCACGACATGCCCATACAAAGTGGCTGCAGCTGGAAAAAGCAATTAGTGGTGTGTGTGTTTTTTAATCAAAACCTGTGGATGCTTCGAACTGACACAACCAAGACTCTCTCTCTCCTTTTATTTCATTACTTTATCACGAGAACCTTCATGAGCTTCGAAAGCTTTGTCTCAGTGGGTCACATTGTCACGGTCTGAAATTGCTGTTGTACACAACAGCGTTCTGGATTGAGAAACATACTCAAGCTTTGTCTAAGGTGTGAAAAAGAAGAGCACAAAGCTCGGATCTGTAGCCAAGATTGAGGTTGACAGGGTGCGGCATCTGAAATGACCCCATTTTCCAAATTCAAAGATTCTCAAGAAGTTTTTTTTTTTTTTTTTTTTTTTTTTTTTTCCCCTCGTAATTTCCTCGGCGTTGTTTTTAAGAGTAATTTCGTGAAGGGTCATCCGTGAGCTGGTTTCGATGCAACAACTAATCGCGCAAGCTACCGTTGCAGTATGTGCGTTGAAATTCTTCTTCCAGAATGGCTTCTGTGAGGGTTTCCCAATTATCAATCATCCTGGGTACTACCACTTCTGAATCTTTTTCAGTATTATCTCCCCTCACGTTTTCATTGTATTATTATTTTTATTTTTTATTATCCTGCTGTTCAACTGCAACACTGGAATCTGCAAAAAAAATCCACAGTGTTCATCAAAAGAAATAGTGAAAATCGTCCTAAGTTCAGAAGCATGTTGAATGCTTAACACTCTGAGGTAACAAAATGTGCATATGCCTATGTGAATAAAGGTCAGTCTAGCCTGTAGAGTGTGGATTAGTAACAGTAAAAAGGATAGGGAGGCAGAATCCAACTCTTAACCTGATCTAGCTTTTTCAATGCTCTCTAGTCTTCACTTTCACAAAGTTGTCAAAACTTGCTTCTAAAGATGGTTAATACAAACATTCTGTACTGAACTTAGACCATATTTCAAGCTTCACTTTGCTTTTTGTGTCAACAAATTGATAAGATAAAATAATGAAGAGAATAGAGCAGGGTATTAGTGCACAATGTTTGTTTGTTATATATATATATATATATATATATAAAAATGCATGCATGTATGTGAGTGTGTGTGTGTGCACATGTCTGTTGGTGTGTGAAAGAAGGAAGCAGCTTCAAACTTTCCTTGTGCATGGAGTCAAGGATGCTTTGAAATGAGTAAAAGAAAGAAAACAAAGCCAATTATGATTTGAAATGTTTATTATAAAAAAATTAAAATTAAAATTAAAAGAAGAAGAAGAAGAAGAAGAAGAAGGAGAATCCCTCCAATTGATTTGTAAGGAAGTTAGAGCCAATCATTCTATTTTTATACCTAGAGCTGATGCCAAACCATGAAAAAACATACTTCAATGCACCACGAACAAGGTTTGATGCAGCTCCAATAATTTGAAAAACTTCAAAGAAAAGCTATATGTTTCAAGAATTTATTGCTTGAAGGACAAGGACCTTGAAAAACTTAGAAGAAAAAGTGAGGATTCCTTTTGTAGCAACTTAAACCCCTCACACATTCCTTAGCATGCAAAACTCTATACAAAAGCAAATGTTTTTTCTATCAATGCAATAGTGTGAAACATGTTTGTGCATCTACAAAAGAATTTTCTCATTTACATTTTATTTATTTGTTTGGGGCAATGAGAGCAACAAGTTTAGAAAATGCAATAATAAATGTCATGAACAATCCCTTTGGAACAAAAACTGTTTCTTCATTAAAGATATACTCCAATTAACCATTTCTGACTGTCCCCATGACAGGGCACTCTGGATAAGAAATCCAGAGAACAAACCCCAAATCTTCATCATCAAGTTGGCAAGGGTAATAATAATGCTTCTGAGAACTGCAGAGCTTTTGGCATTTCTCATTCAACTGCATACTTCAAATCTTCACAACACATTCAATTGAAAGGGTGCACACAAATGATTGATGGGGAGGTGACAAAGCAACTTGTCTATAAACTTGGCAATGGAACTTCCAATCATAAGGTTACTGAAATGAACACTTGACACTTATATGTGAATAAAAGTGATACACTTTGTTGACACAGCATCCCAGTCTTTGCCTTTCTCAATCACTTATTTGTACCACTTCTAATGGGACAAATCCCAAATAATTGAAAGGTTTCAATCCTCTTGCAATTCCTAAGAAAATTGAATGCAGTTGACACCCACACATGCAATATATGTCTGTTATTATCCCTACAGATACATAGAGAAATATGTGCAGCACTGTGCATCATTCATCCATATAAAAAGTATACACATACCCATGTTTTTGTGTGTGTGTAAGCTACATATCATATAAACTTGTACCATAAACAAGGAAATCTATAAAAAGGTACAGAATCTACCGTCCCAATAATTGTTTGTTCCACCATAACTTAATGGAGTGGCATCAATAAAAGGACGTGATATTACTAATGGACGACATTCGTCCACATTCATCCAACAACATAGTTCGAGAGGGATCTTTAACTCAGAAATAATGAATTCTGGGCTGCCCAAATGCTGACTATTAATGCCATATCTCCCTCTTAGAATCTCAATGTTATGACCACTGGCATATTCTATTTTTACGAAAAAGCCACATATGTGCGTGCGAGGCAATTTGGTTGGTGTTGGATTTCGTCTAACTTTGGGTATTATGTCGAATGACTTTTTATGCTTATTCAGTTTACAAATAGGGGGAGACATGCGTGGGTTCTATTGGGTTGGTTGAGAGATGAAGATGATGCCAAGTGGCATGTGGGGCTCTTGTGAGTTGTGCCAAAATTATTGCTGAGAGTGTGTGAGAGAGAGAGAGAGGTGAAGGAGTGTCATCCTTTTGGGCAGTGCACCAAACAAATAATTTTTAAAAGGGGGAAAATGAATTGAAGGGGGCTGAACTAAGGCCAACATATGAAAAACGGTTGGTGGGAGCATTTTTCACTTTTTCATGGCCGATGTACTAATATAAGGCCAATGCAAAAGACTCCACTGGACTAAAGTTGAATAGCCAGCCCAAGTTTAGACCCCGTCAGTCCATTATTTTCCATCCTCTCCTTCTCTGGCATAGATCCTTAGAATATTTAGTATCAAACTCTAGTTTAACTCATTTAAGTATTCGCATCTCTCATGAGTAGACGGTAAATTCTCTTGAATGAGTTCTAATTTTGTGTGCAAGCAAAAGGCAGCGCCGTCGGCCAAATCGGGTTATGACACATTGATAGCGATTGATTCCTGTTTAAGAAAAGAATATATATCGTTAGTAATTTCCCCGTGTGGTAAGACATATATAGTGACCGTCATTAAAATAATATTACTTTATAGTAGCGAATGTGCACATAGAATGGAAACTGGAATCCTAACCTCCATGCTCAATCGACTCGCTCCGCCACCGTGGACCTTCAAATCGCACCTGCTTTCAGATTCAATCTCAACCGCCGATTGGGTTTCTTGGAACGGAGGGAGGGAACGTAATGGAACCATGGGGGCGGGCAGGTTGGGAACTCAGAACCCCTTTCTCAATGGTCTTGCACTGGCCCATATTCACATGGTGCTGAAGTTTGTTCAGGGCTGCCTCTCAATTCCAATTTTCAACCATCACTTTTGCTTCAAAGAATATATTTGTGATGTCATACAGCACTCAATGTACATGATATTTTTGTTAACAGTGAGAATTAA